GTACGGCGTGGGCTGTACGGGACTAGTATCGGGACCTAGGGACTTTGGAACTCTAAGGCTGAGAGGGATCCAGGATCTTTGTTGGCTCATCCGCTCGCTCTGTGCGGACGCCCCGTCGAACAGGTCACGATGGCGCGATGTCTGTTGGAATGCTGTGAAACACGGACCGAGAGATTCGAGGCCCGCCTCTTCTCTATGGCACGAGCCTAGACCCGTCGTGGTCTTCCTCGTCTGGATGAGGATACTATGCAGTGGCCGCGAGAGAGAGAGAGAGAGAGAGCAGGGCTCGTCAAACGGTATAAAAGCACGGCTGCATCTCGCGATATTGCTGATCAATTCTGCATCCGGCACAAACTGACCATCATCCCTGAGAAATACTGCCACTTCTGCACCGACCTTAGTCATATCATTTTTTTCCAACAATCTCTCTTCATTAAAACGACAACTCCAAAGATGCATTCCTTCTTGATGATCTTGGCTACCGCCGCAGGCCTTGCCGCTGCCGCCAACCCCGTACTCACCGCAACTAGCACCTCGTCTGCCAGCGGCTCTGAGCCGACGGCAATCACGATCGTGAGCGTGTCGGCTAGTGGAAATGGATGCCCTCAGGGTAGTGTCACGACAGATTTGTCGACCGACGGCTCGGTATGTTTTTTACGTTCTTACCTACCTGTCAGAGCTCACCAGTTATCATATATCCGTGATTACCTACCTGGTTCAGGTGGTGGTAATATTCTGGCAGCAAAGAGTAAAATGCTAATTGAACAAAACCCCCAAATTTTAGCTCGTCACGTTCGGTTTCGATTCCTTCCAGACTTATATCGGGCCCGGAACGACTATTGCCGATACCTCTAAGAACTGCCAGCTCCATCTGAACTTGGAGTATCCCGGCGGTTTCCAATACGCTGTCGTAAGTTAATGCTCTGCTACGTCTCTTTGGAAGACTTGGAGCTTTTTGAATGAAAGACTACAAAAAGAGAGGAAGAGTGAGAAAGAATGAAACAGAAGATAAGCGGGTATTAGATAGATATCAATCAGTTCCCTATGCTAATCACACCGGGTCTACTCGTTCAAATAGGTCGATTCGACATACCACGGCTATGCTCAGCTGGAAACCGGTGTCACTGGCACCTTCTACTCGACTTACTACTTCAGTGAGGATGCTTCTGCCACTGTAAGTTAAAAAAGGGCGGGAGAGAAAAATCTCGCCAGTTTCAAACTAGAGTTTCTTCTGTTTCTCATGCTGACAAAAAATGGGAAATAGACCACCACGCAAACTTCGATTACTGGAGGCAGCACCTGGGAAGATGGCGATGTGAGTTTTTTCTCCCTCTTTGCCTTTTCTCCCTTTCTCTCAATCCTCCCCCCTTACAACTAGAGACCGACTGAGTAACTGACACCCTCTTTCTTCTTCTTCCCCCCCCAAAAACAGGTCTACACAAAAGAAGACGAAGTCCCCACGGCCGCCGTCATCTGGTCCCCCTGCGGCGCCTCGGGCATCCTCAACATCAACAACCGCATCGCGCTCACGTCGACCGTGACCTCGGCGTCGGGCCAGATCTCCGACGACGACGCCACTGTCGCTTTTACCCAGCAGCTTAATGTCGCTTGGCAGCCTTGCACGACTACCTAGAAGAGCTAAACGACCGAACAAACTCGGTTGAGTAAGAGGAGTGAGTGGGCAAAGTTAGAAGAGAGCGTGGAAAAGGGAAAGGGGAAAGGGGATTGAGCGTGGGTGAGAGAATTGGGGTTTAAAGGAGAGGAGAGCAAAGGAGTGGGTGGGTGTGTTTTGGAGAGCTTGGTTTTCAGCACGGACACCAGTCTTGTACTTCTCTGGGTTATGATAAGTACATGTATATAGGCATCAACTCAGTTGTTCCCAAATATTTGCTTGTGACCGACCAGTTCCACCCAAAGTATGCCTGAACAGTCTACCCTAGGTAGTCAATAGGGGAAACGTCATCCTCTGAAAGTACAGATGAAGTCTACAGCATTCAATATTCACATGAAGAAACAAACTCGATTCAGATACGAAAAAACTATGAAGGCTACAGTCACAAATGTTTGTATTCCAATACAATCTGTTACGATAAAGAGTTAATATAATATGTGCACCGTCTACCCAAAGCGCAATCCCTAGACCAGCCCAAGATATCGTCCTAGTACCAATTACCCCTAAACGCCTGTGTGCCGATTATGTAATCATATCTTCCAAATGATGCCTAAATAAATACAAATCTACATCAACTTATGATCCAAGCTGTGTACCCTTTCCTTTACATCTCAGTACTTGGGTTAGTTAGCACTCCCCCTTCCAATTCTCTCCAACCCAACTAGCAATGACATCAGTGAGTGTCTGGTCAAGATACACCTTCACATCGTCATTATTATAATCCCCACCGCTGAACTTCAGCGCGGTGAGTAGATACGGCTGGACATAGTCGACGAAGACAAGATCAACAGTCTCGGGCTCAGCTCCGTCTGAAGGAAAAGCGTCCCGTGACTGGATGCAATTTGGCACGGCGTAGAACTTAATGGGTGAGTGCACAGCATCATCGCCGTCGTCTCCGAGATCGTCTTTGGTGGTGTAGCCACTTGTTAGTTCGGGCTCATCATCACCATCATCATCTCCGCTGTCGTTGTCGTTGCCGTCGACAAGTGGTTTTTGTTGGCTAGCGTCTGTGGCTAGATAGTGGTGCGGACGGGCGTGAGCTAAGGCATCTGCCAGCTCGTTGTGGAGGGGATGAAGATCTGCTTCAATCGACTCGGGTGTCTTAACATCAAGGTTGGGCTTCAGTACCTGGCCGCCACTATTGAGTAACTGCAGGACCTTCTTTGCGACTTTGTAAGATACGTCAGGGATGTAGTTGAATCTGCTCGTGAATGGGGAGATAAGGAAGGTCGAATCCGTTGTGAAAGGACCCTTGAAGAGGTCGAATCGCACGGCTCCGGTATTGACTATGGTCAATCTGGGCGTCTCTTTCCTTTCTTCGTTCACAACGACGTCGGGAATGACCTTCTTCTCGAGCCAGGTGAAGATACTGGTGTTGCTGGGGTATTCGGCACGGGACATCCAGAAGTCTCGTGGTGAGCAGCCGATGGTATGATCTAAGGCGAGCTCTTTGCGGGCTTTGACGATCATCTGGCTGACGTTGCGCCCATGAGCTGTAGGGAACTCGGTCTCGTTCAAGCCGGTGTGGTACTGAAGACCAAGAAGATTGTTGTCGATATATCGTCTGTTGAAGTGTATGGAGGAGGCCGCCGCGGAGAAGTCCTCTTTACCCTTCTTCTCCACGCCATCGATGGACATCCACCCAATAGTCTCGAAATAACGGCCGCTAGCAATAGCGAAAGCCTTGTCGTCGAATTTCCTCGCATCGCGCACGTGCATATGGCCGCCGAAGAAGGCGATAGGGGTATACCAGTTGGTGTCACGGATGACCTTGAAGATGAGCTCGAACTCTTTCATGCGCAAGCCGACATGGCCTATGACAACAAACAAGTCGGGCTTCTCGCTGATGGCGGTCTTGAACCACTCCTCTTTGACGGTATCTTCGACGTGCTGGACGACGCTATTGTTCGCATTTCGGTCGAAGTCGAAGAGGAAGCCCAGCGCAACGACATTGTAGCCCTGGTTCTTTGTCTTGAATTTGATGTAGCGTTGCGCTTGGGGGATTTGGTCGCCGGTATTGGGCTCTATGTAGTCGAGGTTCGAGGCGATGTATTGTTTCTTGAAATGGGGCACGGTGATGTTGTGCTCGCGGGCGACGCTGTCTTTGTGGTACAGCTCGTGGTTGCCGGTACAAAGGATGTCTATGGTCTGTTGGTTGAAGATGTCGTATGTGTATTTGCCTTTGGGTTCGGAGCCATCGTAGAGCCCGTTGCCTTCGATGCGATCGCCGGTGTCTATGACTATCAGATCTACGCCTTTGTCGTCGGCTTTCTTTCGCATGTGTTGGGTGAAGGAAACGTAGTCTCCCCAGTCGGCCGAGTATTGTGCTCTGTTTGTAGTCTTTCGGTCAGCAAGCAGACAAAGCAAGCAAAGCAGCAAACAGTAGATTCGAGACTCGACTTACTCTTGTAAATGACCTCCGAGCCAACCGTGTGTGTCGGTTGTGTGTAGAAAGTTGATCTGCCCCCAATCAAGATCTCTCATGGGGGCAGCGACAGGCGCTGGAGCTCCCGGTTGTGCGGCATCGACGAACGCGGTCAGCGATGCCGCGACAAAGGCGACTGTGCGAATCATGATTTCGAATGAAGAGGCCCTTACCTAGGGTGGATGAATGTAAGTCTATACCATGAGAAAGTGGGTTTTTAATAACACGTAGGAAAGTGAGATGAGATTCAGGCACCGGTTACAACTCATGTGTTGTATACATCATGTACCTACCTTGCCTGACCTTGAGCTGGCTGACCAGGTACAGGCCGCTGTTGCGTCACTGGCGCTAGCTGACCCCTTCTGACCCCTGCTGGAGAGATCTAAAGAGGTTTACCGTTCTTTTAGCATTGCCAATCAGATAGATGACTTGTTTCCCTGGAGAAGCCTCTTTGAACCAGCGCGTCTTTGAACTGCTATATCTGCCACCTGGTTACATCCTACCTCTTACTGGTTACCTACATGTAGGTAGGAGGACAAAGAAGGACATAAGAAGAGAGCTGCTGGCCTTTTATATCTATATCATGAATATCTAGCACCACAACACCCAGCCAGCCCATTATCAAGAAGAATACACCGTACGTAGTACATGTAATGGAAGGGTATTTGCCGAAGATATCGATTTTCGACCTTGATGGTCTTATCGGCAAGTAGAGGCCCGTAATAGCGGCGGATACACCAGGAGATGCTAATACTGGACCTTTATGGGTAGTATGGAGGCCGTTCTAATCAGATAAGAGCGGATAAGGTCCCATTTCCCGGGTCCATGCCTGGGGTATCTGTATTAGTTCTTCTGATCTGTATTAGTCTTCATTAAGCCACCAAAAGGCCCTAGAAGTCCATCGCAGCAATGACCGAGTGGTTAAGGTGGCAGACTTAAGTATACGGAATCTAGCGTGCATTCTTGACCTCTGCTGGCGCAAGCCGCGCAGGTTCGAACCCTGCTTGCTGCAATTTTTGCTATTTTAATATCATTTATTAAAAAAAAAAATACTATTTTATTTTTTGGGGGTTTTTTTTGCTACTTATTTTTTGCAATTAGAGGTGTGAGGCAAGGAGAGTAAGAGTTTAAGAAGGTAATTATCATCTTGATTACATTATATATACCATGGAAAAGCGGGCCGGGTTGATATCTGATAAAGCTTGGAGCTGAACGTTGATGATATCTACTGCCCAGATCTTTTCGAGAATAGGAAGGAATTTGAAAGGGTTGGAGCTTCAAACACTACCTAATTCATCAGTTTCGATTGCCAACATCGGGTCACATGTCTACATATGTCAGACAGACCCAACTCAGAGCCGGCCATAGGGCAGTAGCAACGCGGTGGCGGGTTGGTAGCTCGACGCCCTACCTTTTCTGTCGCTTTCTACACCAAGAAAGTCACCATGATGGTGAGTATACACCGCCTACACATCTCACAATCCCCTCTCTGACCCAATCCAGGCGCTTCTAAACCACCCTCTGCTGCCGAACCACCGCTCCGCCTCTCCGTCAAGGACAACATATCCGCCTCCCCCTACCCAACGACATGCGCCTCGTCCATTCTGACAGGGACGCAGATCCCCTTCTCCGCCACCATCGTCTCCCAATTAGTATCTCGACCCAATACGTGCACCAACGCAACCGTCGTATCGAAATCTGGTATGGACGAATTCGGCATGGGCACGCACTCCACAACCTCCTTCTTCGAGCCCTTCTCCATCCGCAACAGCCCACCACTAGAAGCGTATTCAGCAGGAGGGAGTTCCGGCGGCAGCGCGGTCGCTGTCAAGTCCGGACAGGCCGATCTTGCGCTGGGAACGGACACAGGTGGGAGTGTGCGCATGCCCGCTGCGTATACGGGTGTCGTCGGGTTCAAGCCGTCGTATGGGATGGTGTCGCGGTGGGGCGTCGTGCCGTATGCGAATAGTCTCGATACCGTTGGTTTCCTCGCGCGGACGGTGAAGCCTATTCGTGAGGCTTTGATTAGCTCTGGAATCTACTCTGAGCACGACCCTCGGGATTCCACTTCTTTGCCGGCGAGTGTGCGACAGCGGTGTACGGCTGAAAGAGATGGGTATGGCGAGAGCTACAATCTGCAGAACTTGGAAGGGTTGACATTTGGGTTGCCGGTGGAGTATAATGTCGAGGAACTCGATTCCCGTGTTCGGCAGGGATGGGTGGATGCTCTCGCCGCGATACAGAGTCTCGGAGGTCGTGTCGTCCCGGTATCACTTCCGTCTACGAAGAATGCCCTCTCGGCGTACTACGTCATAGCTCCCGCAGAAGCGGCGTCAAACTTGTCGAAATACGACGGCATCCGGTATGGACGCCGAGACACGGACGGTCCCAACGATACGCTGGACGGCATATTATACGCACGTACGAGAGGCACAGGATTCGGAAAGGAGGTCAAGCGGCGCATATTATTGGGATCATATACCCTGAGCTCCGAGGCTATAGACAACTACTTCATACAAGCACAGAAAGTCCGGCAACTCGTCCGAAGAGACTTTGATAGGGTGTTTAGGTTGGAAAACCCATTGCTTGACGAGCAACATTTCGATCTCAGCGACATGGATGACTCTATCAATCTCGAAACGAAACTGGGCCCTGCGCAGGTCGATTTCTTGGTTTGTCCTACGGCTCCGACTACACCGCCTTTGCTAGAGCAAATCCGCAATCAGACGCCGCTGGATTCTTACATGAATGATGTCTTCACTGTCCCAGCGAGTCTGGCGGGACTTCCCGCTATCAGCATTCCTATGGATCTCCCCGTCGACGAGAACAACGAAGAACATGAGCTGCTCAATTTCGGAGGGTTGCAGGTCATTGGGCAGTATTGGGATGATGCTCGGGTGTTGGCTGTTTCTGATAGAATATCGACTAGCATCTCGAGAGACACGGCGAGTTTGGATTGAGAAATCCAATTGCGGCGAGAATATGACTATTGGGAGCTTCTTGTCGTGTACAAAAATGTATGATGGGACGAGACTGTCTTGATGTAAATTTAGTCGCTATACCCAAGTCTACAAGGTAGACTTAATGAAATGTAACAACATACCCTATGCTCATTCATAACATTGGGTGACCTATCTAGTTCCGTTAGTGACAGTGAAGTGCTAGCCGCAATCGTTGAAGTCCCATGGATTGACTTGCTTATCGAGGATGAAGCTTGATGATACGTTTGTATGCGCAGGGGAGAAGCATCGTGTGGTCTACCGACTCTCGCTCCTCAAGGATCTCCTTTCATGACCGACATCCATCTCATCCGCCGACCGGCTGCCTCGGCTCGAACCACGAGAAGACGATCTCCTCCTCCTCTCCTCTCGACTCCGATCTGAGATCCCGCCTTCATCTTCATCGCTCTCGCTCCCCCTCCGTTCATTGATCTCATCGTCACTCGCAGGCCCATTCTTCTCCGCATCTTCTCCCTCTTCTTCTTCTAGGAGATCTAGTATATCACCAAGCGGACTGACTCTCGGTTCCAACACATCGCGATCCTCGAGATCCACTCGCTTGGGCATCGTCCAAAGGGAAGTACCGCAAACGCGACCCTTGACCAACAAATCATCCACGAACTCGTCGACAAACCCCAACCTCACACTGTCCCTCGCCCTGCGCCTGACTTTGCGTTTATCCTCCAGAAACGGCTCGAGAGTCTTGTACACATCCTCCGCCTTCCTCGTCAGCCGTACATAAAAACAAGCCAGCGCCCTCAAGTACTTGAATTTCTCCCCGCCATACCCCAAGTATTCCCTTACAACCTTATCCCCCGGCGCGAGCTGCAGTAATTTAAAGGCGAGACAGAGAAAGGGTGAGGGGCGTTGAGAATCGCCGATTACGCCGCCGATGTAGTTGACGTGAGCGACTACGCGGTCGACGATGTCCGCTTCGTTGACGCCGAAACATTGGTCTTTCCAGAAGAGGCTGTCGACGATCCGGTCGACGACCGCTTTCTCCATTATTGTCGCCGGGTCGAGACCGTTGGGGGCTTTGCGCGCGGAGGAGCCGCGTTCGTCGAGGAAGCGCCGCTCATCGGCGCGGTGTGTGTCGGAGGGCATTGTGGTTTGTGATTTTGTGGTTTCTTGATTGCTTCAGTCGCTCGATGGATGAAGAGGCTGTGCCTGTTTGAGGGCAGAGGGCTTAGGCCTTCGGATTATGGGATGTTTTGCGCGCGCGCGAGAGTTGTTCGAAAGGAGTTGTATACGGTTTCGCGAGATGTCTGATCCCTTGTGACTGTTTCGTAGCAGATGCTCGCCTAAGTTCGCAGATTGTTTTGTTTCTGCTTGGGTATGGCTGAAACGGCGTAGGGGTGAAGGAAAGAAATGGCCGCTCGGGAGAAGGTGGAAAGTGTGCCTTCGGTCGCTCCTTCAGTCGCCGTCGAGAATGGGGTTTTTTTTTGTGAGGTTGACAAAGAAGTGGTTGATGTTTTTGACTTCTGATAATTGTTGTAATTCAAGCTGGCGCATATCGATAAGGAGCTTCTCAAGCTTACTTACAAGCTGCCTGCTGTCATTCCAGCCTATATCTAATAATAACCCCACTATCAAACCACCACGAATATTGATGGCCACCAGACAGGTAGGTATTCATCTGCCATGAACTATTTACCTCACTAATTATACAAAAGTTTATCTTCATATTGACTTCCTGATAACTGAACATTATGTACAAACTATTCTGCAACACAAGGGCCGATAATTATTCAGCATATTAGACAACATTACTTGAAGAGTGATCTACGACCATACGGCCCAAGTGGTTGGACATCTACTCATGACGGTAAATAAAGGGCAGCTATCCCAAACGATCCGGATGAATTTCCCATCATTTCAAAGAACTCGCAATTGGCCCAAAGATGGGCGAAATGTACGAGCCGAAATATAAGGTACGGGCTTGTGAAACCAGCAGGAAGACCAAACATCTCGGTCTTCGTAAGAAGGGTTATCCGTCTGCTTTTGAACCTTAGTTAAAACATCTAAGAGCCCGGCGGTTACTGTCTCCTTTTCATCATTCGATCCCTTCTTGCCACATCTCCCACCTAGGAGGGTACTACCAACAGTGAGTATGCAGATGGCGCACTGATTGAAGCTGAGCGGTGGACTGAGCCTACATAGGCAAACTGGATATATCCAAAAACGATAACCAGGGACGAGTTCTTCTGTAACTGTCTGCTCTACGCCGTCGAGCACCATCTAGTTCAGCTGTGAGAAGCTTCCAATGCCGCCTTCCACACCTTCTCGACGTCCAGGAACATCCCCCCTGTCCAGGATAGCTGATAGTCAGAGTAGTTGGCGACATATTGCCTCCGGGCCCCAGGAGACCACCGATGAGGTAGCTCGGATAGATCCCGTCCTTCACATTGGGACCTGAGACCGACGCCGGTTGATGGTGTAGACGATGAGTACCTCGATGTATTCGTGCTGTCAGCGGAACCGAATCGGATGCTGAGGAGGCAGACACTTCTACATCATGAGAAATATTCCAATGAACACGGAATCGATCGAACAGATGACGTAATCCGGCTAACCGCAGAATATTACATGATTATCGAACTAACTATTCGGGCGAGTTAGTATGTTTTAGGACCGGAGAACGGCTAGCAAAATCTCGACGATACTAATAAAGCTCCACGATTCTCCGAATGTTGCTGTGTACCTATCTTTGTTCTGGCACTAGGTAGCTATCGACATTACCCAGGTATAAGAATGATCAAAGATCTCCAGAATCTTCACGGAGAATTTGGAAGGCAGAATATTTCGTGCCAGATTTTTCTTCTGACGGCGGCGCCCGCCGTTGCGGCCGTCACGGCAGCAACAGAATCGTTCAGTTCAGACTCATCTGTGCCCCTTTGAGACCTTCTAAGATGCTGCTGTTAGCGAGAAACCAATTTGAGCACACTGATCATTGCGGCCCGTCCGTCGCGATTCTCTCATCCTTAAGACCCTGCCCGCTTCTACTACAGTGACA